GATAATAATAAAAAAACCTCACACATCTCACGTATGGCCGTCTGATCCCAAACTATGCAGAGCCTGTACTATGTTAACGAGACTGCTGATTAACATACTTATACATTTCTAAACAGTGTAATAACTAATAATAACCTATTTACTGTAACGATCACGAAGCAGGACTCATTGATTTAGCCATATAGTTTAGTAAATCAATTTGTTTTTTAGCATACCTACGTATCAGAATTTGGAACAATATTAACCCTCGAGCAGAACAAAGGGGCAACTACTGTTACTGACAACGGCAACATTTATACACAAAGTTTGTAGCATGTCAGGGCCATCCGAGGTAATTGTCTTACCTCATGTGTAACAAACATCTGAAAAATAGAATGCTACAAAAGCCTGATCTCAGCCTTTTGTGGGGCGGAGGTACCACTTAACGTAGCGGTTACGACTACGCAAAAGAAATCTTCCGTGATACCGCAATAGTGAACATTTTTTCAAAAGCAACTGTGGGTAAATTTAAGCATGAAAATATATTTTAAGTAAGAACGTTCAGCTGCTCCAGGTTCTTCGTAGTACAGTTACATAATGAAATGATAATTAAGTGATACGACAACAGGAATAATGATATGCTAAATGCGAGCCGCGTCAGGAATGCGATGAGTCGCGTCGACGCCTCGCCTCGTCACACTGACGCCTTAATAAGTTAACTTGTTACGGGACTTGTGTAAATTTACCTTAACATCCAATATACCCGCTCACACCCGTCCTTACATTACTCTTAGCTAACGATGTAATTTATATGATTGCTCTGTATATGTTTGTCACTATTGTGTTTTCATTACAAAGTTTATTATATACGTTTAGTCTTAGAACCTTTACTTATTATACAAATAATGTTGATGGGCTCTCAGTGTCTCACTAACATTCCTGTACTGTCCCATATATGAACATAAACAGCAGTGGGCAAAGAAAACAACAGAAGAACGTCAACAATAAATCTTGGTAAGTCCCGAGGTATGTTCAGTTTATTAGGTCCTTCATCGAAGATTTATTTTAAGAAACAATTAATCTGATTACCTCCTTAAGATAAAAATCTAAATGTGAAGTAATTTATAGCTTAGTTAACCGACTTTCCAAAGCGAGGGGTTTTGACTGAACGAGCTATGCCTGAGTTCCAACCGCCAAAGACATACTCGTAAAAGGCCACTGAACGCTGATTGTTTATAATATAGTCAATACATAATATATCAGTTATTTCAAATTTAAAAAGCCCTACCATATGAAAGGCCATGTACTATTATACCATATACTACAATAAAGTGCTATAACTACACAAATAGATATTATTTGAAGATACCTTCAGTAAGCCTTTACTAGCACCTACTTAATGCTTAACTGTTTGTACTAGCATGGGCTACGTATGCATGGCAATAACATCAAATTAATATAGCTTAGAGAGTAACCGCTAAGGGTACGATAATCTAGCAACTTGTGATCTTCATCAACGGTTTATAAATGTATTCGTGCTTTGTTTAATTAAACAATACTATTTATTGAAACAACCCTCTAGTATTTAACTCACTTGTACCATTCCCTTATTATATAAATATATATATATATATATATATATATCGTCCCCGTAGTTGGAAAATTGAATAACTATGATTTTGTAGTTCTGAGATAAACGCGATTCAGTGTTTTTGTTCAGTTGATGTATATTTGTTAAAAAATGTGAGACAATTTTACTGTCGGTAATTTTATATTTTGTGGACCTGATTACCTTTTATATTTTGCTTTAACAAACTGAACTCTGTCTTTAACTATAACAAAATAAAACATTAAAAATCAAGTTGTTTAATTTTGCCACAACTATTATTTATAACGTAACTACAATTGGCTACTTATTTCGGCTATTTATTTAGTTTTCCTACAAGCTAAATCCATTTGGTAGAGTAAAATTTGGTGAAATAAATGCAGATATTGAATTTATCAAACTCGAAATATTTTTAAATGTAAAACTTAGTGGCTTTGTATTTTACATTATTTTGATATTTTCAACTATTATTGGTCTCATATAAAAAAAAAGCTGTATTATGATATTAATAAAGTTATATTTTGGAAGAAATATAAAAGTACAATAAAATTAAAAAAAAAGGGTATTCTAAAGGATATTTATCTTGCCACAAACTTAAAAAAATAAACAAAATTATATCAATTATAACAAGTGGAAACAAATTAACTTAAAGTATTCTTTCAAAACAAAACAAAAAAATAATTTAAACCCAAAAAATAACAATAAGGCTCTAAAATCAGAGACCTAATTACAAAAGACATACTTAAGTAATAAGTAAAACTATGAAAATCTTAAAATAGGTATGTTATTTAATTTATTTGCCATTTAATTTACCATTGACCACAGTTATTGATTTATTTACTGAGTTATTCATTTTTCCTTCAAAAAAATAGTGTTAGTCTGAAGATATTTATTATTCCATCTGTCCGACAAAAATGGCTATATTTTTGGGAATGGAATAAGATACGAAAATGCCTGTAAGGCTCAAATATGCGGCATGTTTTAGGTGTTTTGAAAATAGGGAAAAGTCAATATCGCCAAAACCGAACTTATTTAATTTTCCAACTACGGGGACGATATATATATATATATATATATATATATATATATATATATACAAAAGTCGACCTTGACACTTTAGTGGGTTATAGTAGCCATTATTTCTAATAGATTTTACTATGAAGTCTTATATCCCAAACCTAACCATTTTCAACATAGGACACAGGCCTATGTCCAGCAGTGGACTGTTAAAGGCCAAGGCCAGTGGACAGTTAAAAGTTAGATTTTCTTTCAATATTAGTCAAAGAAAAGAAAAATTACTTTATTTAGCTGTTATCAACCGTCTAATTCGGCCCAGTTTTTTTAAGTAAATACAAATTTTGTTAATTTATATTATAATTAAACAATGTACTAACGACACAACAACAGTAAAAAAAAAAAAGTTATTGAATTTGTTTTAAAAAAATTGTATTAAGCAAAATTTCGGCAATTTTTATAATTTATAAAATGGTTGGGTTTAGCATAGTATTTCATAGTAAAATCTATTAGAAATTACGACTGTGACTGATGTCGACTTAACCAGTAACCCTGTATATTAATTTTTAACCCCCGACGGAAAACGAGGGATGTTAAAAGTTTGCGTATCTATCTGTGTCTGTGCATCTATCTGTGCTATCATAGTTCTGGACCGGATGGTTCTTAGCTATCAATTTTGAAGATCATCAGCTCACTTCCTAGGTAAAGAAGAGATCTCACTAAAATCCACAGGTCCGATTGATATGAAATTTGGTATACCGTGACTTTGATAGTATTTTCACGACATGGTAAACTGGAACTTGCTGCTGCATCAAGTACTTTGGGGGAGAGCCAACTACTAAAAAAAAAGTTTTCGTTTGTGTCGGGGATTTTTTAATTTGTATATTAATTGTTATACATTATAAGCACATTTTAGGTTCAAATATTTCACATGTTTTGTAAGAAACCCCTTGAAATTCAGTCAAATTTAGTAGGAAACTAAGTATGTGGAACAAAGTGAAAAGCAGGGTTCAGTCCAATGAACGTCGTGAGTGCTCGAGACTAGACGAGTTTTCATGTTGGCCGTAGCAACTGAAGGCTTGTGCCAGCACTTTGTCCTAACCAAAAATAACTTTCGTGACGAGATTAAATGTATGTTTGAGTTACGTAAGTTTCTACTCATTTTTAAGTCCCGTGTCTTCATTGATCAAGGCATAGAGTCCTAATAACGCCTTAGCGGGCATAAAAACATGCCATGATCTGCCCGCAGGTAATTTTTTAAGGATTGAATTCTGTCCTTGGGCATATCATTAATATTATTTTGATCCGCTAAATAAAACGAGTTAATTGTTATTGTGACCCTGATCTATTTTTTTTTATTTTTCCCCTAAAATATGTAATTTTTATTACATGAATCCTGAATCCGGGTACACTACATAAATACGGAAGAGTTATTCCGTCAGTCACAAATACGAATTTCAAAATTCCGATTTTCATAATTCCAAATATTAATAATGGTTGAAAATTCCTAATACGAGTAAACAACTCCGATTCAACCTATTTTTATGATATAAAAATTTTAAAATTCCTGACGTCTACAATTACTATGCTCAAAATACCGAGTTTCAGTAGATCGAATAACAAAGTATAATTCTAATTCTAAACATCAAAAATTCGAATAAAGATATCTCGTTTCGCTGGTCACTTAGCTAACTCAAATAATTTACCAACAAAAGAAGGGATCCTGATCTTTAATGGTCACTGTTCTAACTCACCTAAGCCAAAGAATTCAATAACAATAGATGGTACCCGACGGTATATTTAAGGTGAAGAAGAAAACACGAAAATCGAAATTCAGAATAAAATATTTTGGAGTATTTAGGTGTTCCCTCTGAATACCCCTCCAATAGAAATAAAAATTGTATTTATTTACTCTCGTTAATTTGATGTAATAAGTTATCAGGTTTCTATTTTCGGATCACCTCAGACAAATGATTCTGGATTTCTTTGGTTACTTAGACAGGAAAAAGTGAAAAGTGGCAACCTAGAAAACTTCCTAGTAGCAGGGTACGGGTATACGGTGGACGGATCCGTGACGATGGGGTCTGCAAAACAATGCGTACTGAGGATCGCAATGAGTGAAAAGCGATCTTTTGAGGTATGTCGTTTTGTAAAGGTCACGACCCTCAGCTGCGAGGGGAACGACACGAGGAGGAGGTAATAAGTTTTATTCTCAGCAACAACGATCTACTCACGTGGCTTAATAATATATATAAATATATGTATAATGCAAGATTTATAGGTTTCTACAAAATTTTATTTGGCCGCCACAATCTACATGCAGAATGTATCTAAAAAGCTTGAATAGTTTTGAAGCATATTTTATATAGTTAAAGCTCAAAAACCCATAAAAATTATAGTTTTAAAGTGTGTGATCCAAAGTTATATTATATACAAAATCAAAACTTTCATCAGTGAACATTTTAAGTAAGTTAGGATTGTTGTGCATGACTCGTTGTAATGATCGTCGTCGTTTTTGTATTACATTATCAACCTCCTCATTAAATGATGCTGTAGTTATTTTATTAACTTTCAGCCTTGAGGCGACTTCATCTTGGCATGTGCATGTCGCATCAAGTACTGACAAGTCCTCTTCACTCGAATATTGAGTGCCTATGTTGTGATATTTCTCACGGGTTGCAGAAAAGGGCAACTCTTGCCATACTATATCTCTTAGATTTATTAATTCGGGAGCAGCGTCATGTTTGCGAGGTTTACCGAGTACGGTCTTTACTATGTCATATTTTTTATCTGTAAAATCTAAGTAACTATTTAAGTATGGGAACTGAAATCTTTTTGCCCAATTCTGGCAGCGCCTACCTGGGCAATCTTGTAGTATTTCAATATCATCCATAAGCAAAACCTCATTTGATGACTCACTTTCAATTGTAGTTCCTAGATCTGTAGGAGGTGGCGGAGATTTATCAGAGTCAGGTGGAGTAGTAGTATCTTGTATCACGTCTCTGCACTTACAACGTTGTTCTTCTAAAAGAGCTTTAACTTCTTGGAATTTATTGCATTTAGCATAAATGAATTGTCTTTGAATCCTGACCGATGGGAGTTCAACTTTAGAAGGAAGAGTTTCTCGGCTACCGTATGGAGTAGGAATAGATTCTGTCATATCACCCACTATTACAAAAGGCTCTTTGTCACATACTACTTCCTTTTTTTCAGCCTCGTGAAATTCAAAATTTGGAATGGTGTCTTCGTCTACTAGTATAGATGTTTTAGACGGGGCTTTTTGTATTTCATTAAGCTGTAAAACAAACATTTTTTCTAAATCTAGTAAAAATGTACTTTGTTCAGGTAATAGTTGTAAAGTATAACTGATAAACTTCAAAAATAACTGAAGTATTTTTTTTATCTTCTCTTCCCATTCTTTGTTAATATCCGTAATATGTTTCTCTCTTTCTTTAAAAGCATCTATTACTTCTTGCCGCTCTTTAAGTTTCTTTAATTTTTCTGTTATTTCTAGGTTATGATAGTTATCAAGTATAAATTGTTTTATTCGGCACTTTTTTCTTTCTGTGCACATCATGTACATGGTGCTTGTAATATTTTCTGCTTCTATTTGTTTGCAAAACGCTTTTACAGCATCATTTCTCATATGAAGAGCTTGATTTAAAAGCTTATTGTTTCTATAGTTTTCGTTGTCTAAAATGAGTTGATAATAATGTTTTATTTTTTTAACTTCGCTTTCATATCGTTTTTGTAAGATATCTTCAAGAATATTTCTTTCTTTTTGAAGTTTTTCTTTTATTTCTACATTTGCATCTTTTATAATATTAGCGTGAGCAGTAATTAATACTTCTGCTATTTCTTTGCGCATATGATTCTCAAGATCTTGAAGAGAGCATTCGTAAAAATTATTGATTTCCTCTATTAATTTAGCACTCTTCTGATTTAGTATTTCTTTGTACTTTTCTTTGACTTTTTTAGCTACCACCGTTTTTTCATGTTCTAAAATATGACTCCAAACGCCTTCATTTTCATTTAATAGTTTTTTTACGTATCGTAAAAATCTAACACGTTCCTTGTTTAGTAAATCCTCGCCAATTTCAAGAATACCTTTATGAGTTTTACCTCTTGTTATTTTTGAAGTAAATGGTGGAGATAAATCCAATATACCTATTAATAAGTCACTAGGCGATCGCCATTCATCTTCAGATAAAACATTTTCATTTTCTGCTTCAACTATTTCTCTTTCATCACTGTCGGGTTTTTCATAACCGCAGTAACTATTGTTCAGAAAAGTATCTGCATAAATACTCGCTATACGTTCACCGGAATTTAACGTGTTAATAATTTCATTTCTTTCCATTGTAAAAAAAAGTTTTTTATAGCTGAATCCATTAGCAACGATACAAATGTCACTTTTTGTTTCAAAATTTCAAAGGTATTTTTTTTATATGGAATTGCCACAAATCAGCCAATCTTAACATTGACAATAAATCTTTTTAAAATACGATGGATTAGGCCAATCCATCGTATTTTAAAAAGATTTATTGTTTTCTATGTCAAACTTACTTACTTATTTTATTAACTTTGGAGTGTAGTATAATGATTATTAGCTTTGGTATCATACAAATAAGGGTTTGATAAACGGCTGAGGAAGAAAAATTTGATGTTGGGTGTCTTGCGTCTGTCTGCGGTTTAACGGAAGTTGCAGTAGGAGGTTGGAAAACTCCGCACCGTGTCGACGGAGGCGGCGAGTGCGTTGGCCGGCTCTTCCCCGTGGGACTTGGAGGCGGAAGTACTCGCCGAAGTATATCGGCAGACGACTGAGTTCTAGGCAGTTAGCGGTAGTCGACCCCCGCCCGAAGAAATACGCGAGTGGCGTGAGGCCGCTCGTTGAGATACGATGGTCGTCCCGCCTGGAGGCTCCACGTGCTGGTTTCGCCACTGCTCCAGCCGGTCATCGTTGACTTGGAAGGGCGGCAGCACGGGACCCTTTCCTTCCGACTGACGCAGGTCCTTTCTGGGCACGGCTGCTTCGGGAATTACCTGTACTCGGTCGCTAGGAGGAAATTGAGTCCCGCCTGTCACCACTGCGATTGCAGTGAGTACTCGGCTCAGCACATGCTTGCAATTTGCCCAGCTTGAGCGTCTAGTCCTAATTGCAAACATTGGAGAGGATCTTTTGCTACCGGTCAGTTGTTTTACCGCGGTCGCATCTTTCTGCAAAGACGTCATCTCACAGAAGGAGGCGGCGGAGAGGGCCCGGGAGGATGATCGCCACTCGAACCCAAGACGCTGCCTACGAACCGAGTGGCGGAGGCGCGCTTACCAGTGCCTCATGCCACCCTGAGTGTGGCCGCGTGTGAATGGGACGGGTTTTCCCCTCCACCCACCATATCGGCCAGCCGCGAAGAGTGTCCTGGACGTGTGCCGGACGTCGCCTAAATAGATAATGTACCCGAAGGTGGTGCCCGCGTCATTGCGGGCAGGTGCTAGGAGGGGTCTGGATGTCTTAATAACAGTAGTTCCCGGATCCCTCCTATTATAGGCGCAGAGTCGCACACCGTGTGGTTTGAGTCGGTCCAATTGCGACACACCACCCCGCCGCAAACCCCGGTGGGATGACAGCCCGAAGGGATTTCCACACGTAAAAAAATGGAGGTTGGAAAATTCAAGAGAGGATTTCAGCAAATTTAAACAAAAACTATCCCGTTCTTTACAATTAATAATAGGTGAAAATATAAAAGAAATATATAGTGGCCAAAAATAATAAATTCAACAATAAAAAATTTTAAGGGATCAAAATTCGCTTACCATAGTCGTAAAATGCTTAACGAAGCAGGTGGTTAATGAGCTCTGGGTCTACAAAATAACAGTTTTGGTATTCAAATAGGCGAACGTGTCGACGGCCTACCTGTGATTAGCGGTGGTGATGTAAAGCGGTCTGTATCCCCCGCCGCTAGATTTAATTAAATACTTCCTTGTACTACCCACCTACTATTTCACTTTATCTACTGCTCGCTTTATTGCTCTCTAACGCTACATTGTAAACATTCAGCGCTGCTTATGAATACAGGTTGGTTTAAGTATTAATAGTATATATGTCAATCAGTTAAGAAGAAGTAGAAAAACGCTTCATCATTTGGTGGTTAAATGTATCTATACTTACTAATAGATTTAGAGATTACAAAGAGATAAAGTTTGTGAGTGATCCGATTTTGAAAATTCTTTAATAGAATGTAAGTTAAATTAAATTTCATAAATGATCCAATAACTTCAGAGCACCTAGACCAAAGGTATCGTTGTTACAATATTAAATGGTATTAACTACAAGGTGTCTCAAAAGAAAGTTTATATTTATTTAGCTTACTGCGTGAACGCAACGAGTCGGAGGGGCGCGGAGGTTATGTCAATCTGTAGCCTGGGTCTTGGGAATTCAGTCGCTATGGAGCGTTTCTCGGGAGCAGACCGTGCGTTGTGCGTGCGAGAGTTTTACAAAAACGGTAATTCGGTGACTGTAGCGCGTAGAAGGTTCTGTAGTGTTCGAGGTTTTCGCCATTTAAATGATGCGCCAAGCATTCCTCTTATTCGAAAATGGGTCAAAAAGTTTGAAGAGACCGGTACAACGCTGAAAAAACCAAAATCCGGGCGACCAAGGTCATCAAGAACGGTAGAAAACGTGGAGAGTGTTAATCAGTCTGTTAGTGACGATCCGAACCTTTCAATTCGGAAGCGCGCAAGTGCTTTAAATGTGCATAGATCATCATTACACCGCATTTTGCACAAAGACCTAAAGCTGCACCCCTACAAAATTCAATTGGTGCAAGAATTAAAGCCTCAAGATGCCAGTCAGAGGCTTGACTTCGTAAATCAGGCGATTGAGCGCTTTTCAACGTTTACCAACATATTGTTTTCGGATGAAGCTCATTTTCATGTTAATGGACATGTAAACAAGCAGAATTGCCGCTATTGGAGTGCAATGAATCCGAAACGCAAACATCAGAAACCCCTTCATTCGCCTAAAGTGACCGTATGGGCTGCGATGTCGGCGCGAGGAATTATCGGCCCTTACTTTTTTGAAGACGAAGGGGGCGTGCAGTTACAGTGAATTCAGAGCGTTATGAGGAGATGTTAGACGACTTCTTGGCGCCTGAACTGCAAAACTTTCCTGGTATGGCAAGAACATGGTTCCACCAGGACGGAGCAACGTCACACACGTCCAATACGTCTCTGCAGCGAGTTCGTGAAATTTTCTCAGGAAAATTGATCTCCAGGAGAAGTGACATAAATTGGCCTCCACGCAGTCCTGATTTAACCCCTATGGACTTTTTCCTATGGGGTTATCTTAAATCTTAAGTTTACGCGAATAAACCGACTTCCCAGGCGCATTTGAAAGAAAATATCCGTCACGAAATGGCAGCCATCACTGAGTCCACCTGCCGAGCCGTCATAAGTAATTTTACTGTTCGATTAAATGAGTGCCGCGAACGCGAGGGTCTACATTTGGACGATATTATTTTTAAGAAATAAATTCCCAAATTGTGTACTTTAATAATTAATAAACATTTTTTCGATACACTGCTTACTTTTTTTTTAATCGATCTACTAAATATAAACTTTCTTTTGAGACACCTTGTATTAAAACTTTCTAGTGGGAAATGTTGTCAGTTGCCAAAAGCATGTTGTTTAAATTTAAACTACCTACATTAGGTACCTGATTGTATAAAATTGAACATGTTATGATAAATAAGGGACATATCTCGAGTTCATTCTCATTACGGATGCGGCAATGTCCGTCGGAGTTTTGTCATAATTCAGTCTCGGTTGAAATTATTTCCGTTGGGTCTGATGAGAAAACTAGAGGTGGAGAGCTCGAAATGTAAGTATTCGCGCAACAAGCCGTGGAATAACGACGGGGCATATTTCATTCTTAACGAATTTAAATTTCCGGGAAGGTCCTGTAGGAGCGTGCGTAACTCTGATAAAAGGCTACACTGCCACAATACGATTTTGTGTTGGTATGACAGTTTAGAATCATAAATACACAATATTCGATTAGCAAACTACTACTCCATCATCATTGTTTTGACGCCTGTATATATTTATATCTACTCAATAAGTTCACGAATGTTGATATTATATTGCTGTATTTTATACTGTAAGAAAAACTTTATACAAAGAAAGATTAAGATGGGTGTCAAAGTTTGTAGAATGTTTGACGTGCTAACAATAAAACAACGACTATAATTCAGAAAGTGGGAACAAGTTGGATTGTTTTCTACACATCATATCGGCAAATAAATCTTTAGGCCGCTTATCTGCCGTCAAACTTAATTCTCCTGCATAATTCATAGCGTCGATTTGTGTGAAGAGGGAAAGTTGCTCACTTGCTACAATCTGCCACTTCTGACAGCCTACTGATAGACACCACTAGCGTCGTGACTTTCCCTGCTTATAAGTCATCATCATGCTTTTGTTCATATTTATTTTAGGACAACAGCTTAAAGAAGTTGAAAAAAAATACGATTTGTTCTTTGGTCATAACGTCTAGGCAGTTTATGCATTTTTTGTTATTATTTTATTTGTATTTGTATGTCTATAGTAATAAAATAAGGAGATGAAGATTGTAATGTTACTGTAGGAGTTTTTGCCGGATGTTGATATAACAGATATATAATTATTTCATGTGAGCTTCAAATAAGACTTTAATGTTTAAATATTCCTATACCACTTATATAACGTATTATTTGCGAGTGGGTGGGTTACAGCAGTTTAAAAAATGTATAAGTGCTTTTCAAATGTTATAGAATAGGTAAAACATGTATCTCCGGAAAGGAGACTTTTAATAAATAATAAACACTAAATACTTCTAATAAACAAAATATATATATCTACCTAACAGAGAGCTGGTGGCCGAGCTCAGAGCGGATTGCAATGTCGTTGCGACCCAAAAACATCTAGTACAATAATTCATACTTACAGAAAACAAGTTTGTGGAATAGTTCTCAGAAAACACAGCGTGTTGCTAACAGATAAAGAAGCTTCATACTTATGACGTCACCCACGGCTACGCGACGGCTACTAGCCTATCTCTGACGGGAATGCTCAAGATAGATGGGCACTCTATGCAAAATGCTTACATAAATGTTGACTGAAAATTGCAAAATCCTATAAGTCGCAAATGACCATAAAGTGTGTTCAGGAAAAAACAGGGTATTATCAACCCTCTATTTTTTTAATACTTGCACAAACTGTAATATTTCAAGTTAATCAAGAATCTTAATAAACTTATATTATACTAGTAAGTTAAGTAAATTTATTAAGGTTAAAGGTAAAGTTACCATAACACGGACAACAAGACTG